ATCTTGATCACCATGATCCAAATATTCTGTAAAATAAAAGCGTTGAATAAAATATCAATGAATTTTATAATTATATAGAACATAGTATCTGAAATGTAAAATGGATTTTATTTTTTCATTACCATTTGAGATACCAACTATACGATTTTCATTGTTCACTTGATGTATATTTTCTACATCTTCTGTCAAATCAATCAATGGGATAGGGGATAAATGTCTTGTCTTCGTTTTTAATTTATGACATCCTGGATTTAACTTGATTGATGATGAAGAAGTTGTTACTGTAGATGCATTTTTTGATGTCATATCATTTGAAAGTACATGGTACTGTCTTTTCTTTGCTAACTTGGAAGTGATATATTTATCGAAACCAATGTTATCTGAATAAAATAAAAATAAAATAGTTAACTAAATAAATAAATATTTACATAATGGATAATAGTATATTTTAAAAACCATAAATAATTACCATTCGTAATGTTAGATAACGGATTTATAACATTTGTAATGTTAGAAAATGGAGTTCTAACATCTGTAAAGGAAGGACAGTATTGTATGGTTGTGTTATGCTTTGCAGGTGTTGTAAATGAATTGACATTTTGAGTTTGACGAACAATGTTGGTTGATTGATCTGCAAATAGAAATAACTTATAAAACTTGTAAATATATGTATTCAACTATATAACAGTAAAAGATGGAATATAAAATACTAATACGGTTATAGTTAATGGTTTTTTGAAGAGATGCTGTAATGATATACTTGGAACGTTTGATATTGTTTTTATTTTCTTCGATCTTTTATTTTCCAAATATATTTTTCTTTGTCTTCTTTTCTCTTTGGCCTGCATGTGGTACATGTTACTGTTGTTTTCTGCATAAGAAGACATAGGTTAGGAAATGAAATGTGAAATTATGTACATAATATGTTTATATAATACAATTGAAGTTAGTTAGAATTAAATAAATAATGATAATAAAGTAAATGTATTTAAAAAGTTACCTTTATTAATTTGTTTATTAAAATGTTTAACAAAATTTGCAAATATTAATTTACTCTTTTATAATATATTTTAAAAAAATTAGTAAATTGAAGATTTTAAAAATATGAAACAGTATAAAATAGAAAATATATTTGTTTATATTGTGTAAAAGAGACTTTAAATAAAGATATTAAAGTTAACATGAGTCGGATTGTAGATATGTGTCCGAAAATAAGATTTGAAGCGGAAGATTGTGTTGTAGTTGCAGAAATAACTCCATCAAAAGAAGTCTGAATGTTTGTATACAACGACTCCAATCTTCCATAGACGGTCGTCGAAGATCAGCAGTCAATGACTGTCCTCGATTCCCCCTAAATCGATCGCAATCTACAACGCATGAAAGGCAACCTAAAAAATCATGGAGATCTACGATACCGTGTAATCGTCCGAATTGGTCTCCGTCAGGATTGAAAAATACGATTCGAAGGTAGACTCTCCTTCTTGCTATTCCACAATCAATTATTTCCCTGATGAGCATCATGACTCATCATCCTCATTTCCAACCTAGGGTTTATTCGATTTAAATCTACTGTTTCCCCAATTTCAACCAATCGTGGGTTCGGATGATATCAGGGGTTAAAACCCTAGATCTCCATGGAATCAATGAAGGTAAAATTGTGTGATACACGATAATCGTGATGATTATAAATTGCTTATTGATCTTATGTATCTATTCAAGATTATTTTTTTACAATTAGAAAAACATCTATTCCAGCATATTGATTATTGTTGTAAATTTCAACCATAAATTCATAGAGAAAACAAAGTGATCTAAACTGATAATACTAACCTGACATATGGATATGGAAATCTTGCAGGTAGAACTGGAATGAGGATTACAACTTTAATGAAGCAGTTTGATGTAAGCTTAATGAAAAAAAATCGCAGAAACAATTGAACATTAAGAAGACGAATGAGGTGTTTCAAAATTTTGGATTTCACGTTTTGAGGTAAAGTTATATGCTTGAATATTGGAAAAAGATTACGATTATATGATTTTATTGTTGTTGGATCTTTATTAGATATAATTTTCTTCCTGATTTTTTGGAATTTAAAAGATTACAACTAAAAATTAGTTTAATATTCAAATTTCATCTAAAAAGGGAGTATAGAATATTAGGAAATAGTTGGTTGAATATAGGTTATTTACAGAAGATAAGTAAATATGCTGCAACCATTACAAAAATGTATGAATTAATTTTAGAGAATCAAAGATATAAATTTTGTTTACAATTGGTTATTGATTATTTATTAAAAATAACATATTTATCGTGACAAAAATAATAGTTATTCTAAATAATAGACATAAATGTTCCATGTTTAAAATAATCAACATAAATATCCTAAATAATAACAATAAGAACACAACACATAGAGTTGCTTTCTATTAAATGTAATTTTTTAAATCTTGTATCTAGATTACATAAATGGTAACTACATTTTAAAACTTAACTTACATCTTCCACTTTTAAATATAGCAAAACATGAAGAGGTTAAAAAAGAACAGGGTGTCATTTTATGGGTTACTGTTTATAAAGAAGACATCGATTACAACAACTTTGTATAAATATATAAAAAATTAGTTAGACCATTTTTCCAATAATCAAATTGTGCATTATCTTATTTTCAAATTTCTTAATTAACAAAAAATTTAGATTATGTACCGGATAAACATCAGCATTCCTACATCTAAAAACTCACGTCAATCCTAAATAGGCTTACATCACCTACAACGATTGGACATACCAATCGATTGCAGCCGATTACACACACCAAGAACCCTTCGCCCTTTCGCATCGCATTTAATACCCCTCTACACCTGTTTACAGCTTCGACCTTCTTATAAATCACAAACACATAACATCTACAACCCACATCCAATCAAACTACCCATCGGAAAACCAAAAGCCAAAACCACTCCCACAAAATGAAACCGGCTGAAATGGAAAGCATCATTCATATGCTGATTGGCCAGGCGGAGGAAGAGCTGGACGCTTTGACAAAACTCAAAACGATTACTACTTCAACCAAGAGATGAAGAACGAAGTGCTGGAGAACATGAGTTGTCGACCAAAGTACACCAACTACCTAGATATGAAGGAAGTCATCAACAAAAGTACGTACGTGGCATCAAAAAGAATCATGGCGATTTACAGTCTAAAGAAGGAAACTGAAACGACCATCCAGGAGCTCAGGAAACTACTCAAAACACTTCCAGAAGATGATCAGCCATATATGGAGTGATACAAAACAAAAAAATCTCCAACTCTTTTGTCATCTTATTATCCATGGTCTCTTTAAATCGTTTTCTCTTTTGATACTATGCTTATGAACAGATGCATGGTTAAGCCTTGTATTCACCTTTAAAAAATATAATCTATCGTTTAGGTCTATTTTGTCATTCCATATATAAAACGTAATGCAAACACAGAATAAACCACATGTCAAGCACGTTTATGAAGTTTTATTCTCCTGGAAATTGTCTATTCTGTGTCAGGTACTAAACCGTACCTTTTGCTTTTCAACATAAAGTGATAATTTTGTCACATTAGCAACTCTCTTCAACATAAATATAGATAAGAAAAACCGAATTATGTATGTATTCACATTTGCATCTGTTTTATCTCCTCAACATAGAGAAAACAACAAACCAAAAAGGTTTCATCCGACCTCCGCATCGCGGGGGCTCCCCTCTAGTTTATGATATTTAGAGGTTACATAGAAACCAATGAAAGTACATTGTCATTAAAGGAATGTTCCATTAATATTAAACCAAAAAACATTTTAAAGTACAATGGTATAACCATAAGATTTAAATGGTAACAAATGAAAAAAAGTAGGATTCATCAATATGATGAAAAAAATTATTAAGTAAACAGCCGTTAAAGGGAATGTTCCATTCTAAAAAATTACATAATAATGATTTTTACTGGTTAAAGGGAAACCAATGAAAGTAAAATGTTGTAGTATTGACTATTGAGTAGTTATTTTTTACTTTAAGAAGAATACCAACAAAGTTTTCATTTTTTTTAATACAAATTAGATAAAGTACAAATTAAGCACCCTCAATCACAATATAATTTCACCTGTAAAAGTATCAAAGTATCAAGCTCAAGATAGCTTTAACATTTGAACAATAATAACCACATATGCAATATCGGCCAAAAATTTAAAATATTAAGAAAAAATTTAAAAAAATTTTACAAGCAAATATAATTAAAAGTTTATAAAATAAAATGAAAAACCTTTTGAACAGATTCGTGAAGAAAAATGCGAAGTCAAGAAGGACTGTGAAATGTGATTTGTTCAATATTGGAGTCAAATGCAGTTCACGTGTAAAAGCAAAAATGTTCGCATTTGGTAATACAAATCAAAATTGGGTTTTGCATATGAGGTTGTATGGATTGGGGTTAAAGATGCGAAGGTGATTATGGTTAATATTAATTTCGCATTTGGTGAGACAAACAACTCAAATGCGAATGAACTAAAAAAAAATGACTGGAACATGCGAAGAAAGAGGGTGAATGAAGAATGCGAATTTTACAGTAGAATGCGAATTGGGGAAGAAAGCTAAGAATTTCGCATTTTTATTATACAAATTGATTGATTGATTGATTTGTCTTAATTGTTAATTGCGATATATGAAATACTTATCAAGTTAGGGCAATATATTTTATTTGAGTTATAACCAAAATCAACTAACTTGTCCAATTTAAAACAATAAAAGTATCCAAAAATATTCAAAACCAATAATATTTGACATCCTAAATACCCCAAAATAAAAATCATACCAAGCAATTAAAATATCTTTATAACCAAAACAAATGATCAAAATATATTAAATGTGTCTTATAACCGATAGAAACTCACTTTTCAATTTTTGGAATCAAGAGTGGAGTTTCCTCTGCGGTTGACTTTCTTTTAGCCTTAGTTGAACTTAAATCATATCCAGAATCAACATCATAAATTTCTTGGAGGTTTGCGCTTCAAATCACCTGATATTTTGCAAGGACTTGTTGCGGTTGACTTATCAACTGTTGAGGGTGTAAAACTTTCGTCTGTTTGTGAGATCACATCCTAATTTAAAAAAAAAATGTTTGATTCCTAAAAAAATAACTAATATAATTAAAAGTTTATAAAATAAAATGAAAAACCTTTTGAACAGGCTGTACAACATCATCGGATTCCAAAGCAACTTGATTTAAGGAGACAGATTGAATACTCTAAAAAATAAAATGGAAATATGTTAATCGTTATGTACTTTAACATTAAAGAATTGTAAATTTTCAACAATAAAAAAATTACATACCATAAGTTCTATTTTACTTTCCAATTCACAAACAATGGACATATCTTCTGTAACTCTGAGAACTGTGTAGATGTTATTATAGTTGTTGACATTGTATTCTGTAATATCTACAACAAAACCAAACTTGCGGTTTTTCAACACGTTAAGTTGCATTGGAAATAGGGCATCACTGTCTCCGGCCTGTAAGATATATTTTAATAAATTAAAAAAATTAAGTAAATGTTTTCTGATTTTAAAAGTATGAATAATATACCGCATCATGTATCTTTTTCAACTCGTAGGCACTTATATTTAACAACCTCCTTGCTTCCCTATCAAAAAGAGTCAATCCAATGGTTCCAGTACAATCTTGTACGTTAATTGGAATTATATACCTAAAACAAAAAATAATTATGTCATTGTTAGTGTTGTTTTAAGATTGACAAAATTAATAGAAATAAATATGTCTATACTTTATAACTGACTGAAATTCAGATTTTTTGCATTGTGCATTTGTACACTCGACAACCATAGTTTTGAAATTCCTCAGGGTTGGTATACGAATGATTGGTTTTGGGAACAGGGATAATTTTTTTTCCACATTTTTTGCATGCTTCATAATACCATGGTAGATTCTGCCTTATATTAACAATGGAAGCAACTAATAAAAACTTCATTTCCTGTATCATATCAAATGTAAAAATTATTAAAATAAATTATGCAAAAATAAAATGTAAAACATATAAAATAATGCAACATACCTTAATTGGTTCGGTGATCTCACAGATTGTTTTTAATGGAAAATTGCCCTTAAAGTCATCTGTATATGAAGAAGAGTAGCTTTGAAGTGTAGTTATGCTTTTTTCAGTTATACCGAAATTGTCATGACATTTCAACCTGTAATGTTTAATTTAGATTCATGAATATTAGGTTTTGTGTTTTTTTAAGTTAAAATACATTATAAAAAAATAAAAAACAATTGGAAACTAACTTATTTTTAAACTCATTTATTTCATAAATGTCAGAATTTATGAACAATTTCGTTACTTCAAAATGACTTTTAGCTTCACCAAGACCTGTAAAAAATGTATATCCAATTATTAAAATTTATATAAAAACAGTAATTATAAACATCTATATATAAAGACTGAATACAAACCATTCCAAATGTTTAGCTTCAAAAACTGCATCACGATAACAACAAAATTAACAGTCGGGTTATTTTTTAGGTATTCTGAAATTTGATATGCTTGACTTCCAAAAATAGTAACCTTCAGATGTACAGAACTAAATAAACCATAAAATAGTATATTAATATTAATTTGTGATTAATTAAAGATAATAAATAATAAATAAATAATACAATATAATCTCACTCTAGGTTGCTAAGAGTGACTTTTATATAATGCTTGGATGGTACTGGATTTGAAGTTTCAAGAGGCCTAAATGACACGATATGTCAATAACATCTACACAACAGATACCACAAAAAAATAAAAGTTTAGGATTAAATTCGTAATATTTAAATAATAAAATGTATAACCAAAAAAACAAATGATAAAAAATGATTTTATTAATATTTTATGACTAACCAAAGAATGTGTCTTTTGGGCATGTTTGTTCTATGATAGAATTAAAGTCAACAAACATAAATCCATTGACCGGACCCGAGAAATCATCACATTTTTTTAGGATGCTTTTCCAATCCAAAGTTAAGGTCTGTTTATGACCTGTATAACTAAAACCATTAGTAACAGCAGCCATATTGGGTTTTATAACTATATAACTTTCATCTTCCTTTAAAAGATGACGAAATCTGGAGAAATTCTGATTGAAGACACGAGCTTGGTATTGTGTACCCTGTTTAAAAAAAAATTAAAAATTATTATGTTCATGAAACATGTCTAATATTGAATGATGAATAAAAAATATATCAAATACAACAAACCTCCTCATCCATGATGATCATTTCAATGGAACAAACTTTATTATTTCTGACAAAGTTCCAAATTTTAAGCACCCGAACCTTGATATGCGATTTTTCATCTATCTGGTCAATGTTATTTAGGTAAACCTTATTTCCTATTTCCATTTTCTGCAATAAATTTAATCATTATAGAATTGTAAGGAAAATTAGCAACCTTTTAAAATGTACAGAACATCCTAACCAATAAGTAAAACAGAAAAATTATAAATCAACACATGACAATAACAACTGACTTAATGTACTCATAAATTTTTAAATTGAATAATTCATTTTATAATAAAATGGAATACAAACAAAAACAAATAATTCATATGAAATAATGTTTTAGATTGAATAAAAGTTTATATAATAAGATGGAACACAAATATATAATAAACATGAAAACGACAATTATACCGAAAATGCCCCTGCAACATACTAACACTAACAGATAACATAACAATGAGTAAAACAGAAAAATTAAAAATCAACACATGATAATAACAACTGACTTAATGTACTCATAAATTTTAAAATTCTAAATTTTTTTGAGATTGTATTTAGATAAAAACAAACAAATTTTAAAATTTCATACCATAAAAAAAAGTTACTGTGCACATCTGAAAAAGACTATTTTTAATTTTTTTTTAAAGAAAATGAACTTGTAATGTTCATTAGTTTTTCGTCTTTTAAACTGAAAAGGTAGAAGAAGTAGACGATTAAGAAGAATTACAAAAAAGAAGAAGAATAGAAATCATACAATGAGAACGTGATAGATACAGATAAATAAGAACATGGAGGAAATAGAAATATTGGTAATTCTGATTTTTGAATACACTAACCTGATATTTAATTCTTGAAGCGTTGCAGAATAACAAAGAATGAAGAAGAATACGTTTGTGTGGTTTCTATGGAGCAGAATGGTAAAAACAAAATAACCGTATAAATGATATTTACGTTTGCTGAAAAATACTGCAGATTTTTAGGGATTTAATGATTGCAATATATTGAATTTGCAATCAAAATAAACAACTTTCAAATTTAATCGTGATTTTCGAATCTGATTATTCATTAACATATTTTTTCAAATTATTTCCATAATCTTTATTCATTTAAAATTAATGCATGAATATTTTGAATGCAGTTGACAGTTAAAATTTCCTGATATATTGCATCAGTTTGAACTTTTATTCAATTTTCGGATTCAATGGCATTTACGTAAATATAGAAGAAAAAATGAGCGGGAAAACTCTATTTTGGGGGGCTGGGAGAATGCCACGTGGCCGAGTTCTACTTATTTATTAGAATTAGGATTTGTTTGCTGGATAGATTAGTCAGCATTTTGATGGCGTTGCTTTTTCGTGGCAGTAGCTTCAACCCACATGTCTCTTTTTTTCCTTTTTAGTTTTGCATTCGGTTATTTGTTGATTTTTATTTTCACTTCCTCTTTCCTTCATCATCCCCTTCTGTTTCTCTGCATTCCTCCCTCTTTATTTCCTAGGTAATTTTACTATTTTATTGTTCTTTTCTTTCATCTACTGTCGATTTTTTTTTGTTGCTTTTGTGTTTATTATGTGATGGATGTTCGCGGAAAAGGGGGGCTGACCCCGGTGCTTCGTCTTCTTCTGTTATCTTTGTTGATCGCCGGCAAAAATGTAGGCGTTTCGATGGTCTCTCTGTTCTTCCGGAGTATGTTGACTGTGGCGACTCTACCTGGGTTTGTGAGTTCTGTAGTGTTTTTTTTGTTTGCATTAAGATAGGCTATGCCAAATGATCTTATCCCAAAAATCAGTATACTTGACAAACTAAATCATAAATTCCAGCCTTTATTACTTATCTATTTATCTTTTAGACATTTAATATATATTAACTTGGTTAAGACAATATCAATATCAATTATAATAAATGAAGATTTATTTTGCCACATGACAATTTCTTATTAGTTTTGACATTTATCATTTTATGATATTTTTAAAATAAATAATATCCACATATCAATTTCTAATTTTTCCAATTTTTAAAATTAAAAAGCCACATAATACTTATATATATATATATATATATATATATATATATATATATATATATATATATATATATATATGTAAAATATTAAATATAATAAATATGATAGTAAATTGTAATTAATAACTTCATTTATTTCTTATTTCGAAATGTTATTTAAAAAATACTTATTATTTACACTTTGATATTTAATATATTTTTAATCAACC